ATCCAGTCCGCTTACAGTAACCCTGGTCTTCCCCAGGTAGGTGCTGGGAGGAATGCATACATGTGGGGAACTTCTATCTGAAGTCATACCAGTCAAGGAATTCTGTCCCCACTGAAGTCAGGAGAGATGCTGACTCATGAGATGGAAAGGACAAAAAGTGGCCAGAAGGAAGGAATAAACTATTCCCCAAATTCACAAGAGCAAGCTAGTTCCCCTGTCCTGCTCTAAGAGTCAAGCAGCCCCACATCGTGGTAGGAAGCTTGGGCTCCAGAAGACTGTGATACTCTTTCTGCCGTACTAAAACCAGCTTTCTGATACATTGCGGTACTTGTAAGATCAGCAAGGTATCCTCCCATCTCCTGCCAGAACAGGGTGAAAGAAGAGGTCGATATTCCTGTCACATGCACAGGCAGTATCAGCTGCTTCTTTACCACAACCACAACAGGCTGTCACTCCCCTCACATCCTCCCTAAACAGCCAACTGAGCAATTTCTGGTGATCTGGTATCTCCACGAGTTAGCAACACACTTATAGCAAAAGGTGGGAATCTCCAAGCCTTTAGGTTGTTGGGGTGGTTTCAGATTCAGAGCCTGGATGCTGTCCAGGTTCCATCGGAAGACTTTCACACCATCCTTCATGAATTACTCTGCACGCCTCAGCACCAAATTTCCTTGGCAGCCAACCAAGACAGTATTGTCAACTTTTGGAACTATCTTACCAACAAGTAAGAAGACAGCGATAAAAATACTGTCTTCCAGTTGCAATGGGCTATTGGAGGACTAATATCAAGCAGATAACAGAGCTATGAAATATTTTCAGGAACCACCTACTGCCCCACCCTTCCCTGCCTTTCATTAGCTGACAGTGCAGTTTCCCTGTGCTTTGCCAACAAACCTCCAGGTGGGTGCAGAGATGAGAGTGAAGGAGAGCAAGGCAAAATAGCTACTCTGCAAGTGGGCCTAGGTACAGTTTCCATTGCTTCACATTCCATGGAAATGTCTACATGAGTGTCTGTTTCATGGATATGTCTACATGAGTGTAATTCAAGTTAGGAACATGCTTTTGAGGGAAATCTCCCAACTGCCTGAGCTCCCCACATCTTGGTTTTCATTGTGGAACTGTTTGGGGTACATGAACAGGGTGACATTTGGATTAAATTAACCTGAAAGCTATGTTCTCCTGGAGAACGCCTAATGTGCTTCAACCTTTCTGGGCATCCAGTCTTCAGGGTCAGGCAACAGCTAGTCCAGAGTACTCCTCAGGACACATATAATGAGGATGTCAGGTTCTTGGCATCAAATGTTGTGCCGTCCTGATCAATTCCTCTTGCACCACACCACTTGCTAATAGACCTCTGGCAGCTACCACAGTACCTAGAAGCTACTCATAAGTACAGAATCCATCTTCCCAAATGAGATACAGGCTGTGACAGATGTCTCATTTAGGACAGCACATTACATAGATTAATTCCTCCAGATGATAAAGATCCTCGCTCCATTCTGTTAAATGTAATTTATATGGCTGTATTTTAAACAAAAGATAAAGTGACTGGTAACAATATATTCCTTCATCATTCTACTGCCCAAATTCAAACACTGTAAAATGACCAGAAACTCTAAGACAATCATTTCTGTCCTCTCAGGCTCCAAGCACCCTCCAGCATTTGCAAGCAAACTTAACTTTTGTTTTGCCAAGACTTTTGAGGGATGCACATCAATATTTTGCTCAGCCTATCCTACTCTCTTCCTCCTTTTATTGCTTAGGGAATAGATCTTGAAACTTCCTTATCAGCCATTACCTGCACACAGTCGTGTGTCTTCTGACTGACTGACCCAAATCATTCGCAGTGCAGAGCAACTTCCTCCCATCATCTCTTTCAGTAGGTCCACTGGTTACTGATTTTAAAAAAGCCCATTTTGCTTTGTAAGTGTCTATTTAAAACACCATCAATGTTTTAAATAGACATATCTTTCTGAGATACCCTGAGTTCATACAAGTATTTCCATCACTCAGCTCTTCGTTAGGGCAGTTCTGTGGTCCCCAGACCCTTAAGCATAGAGAAGTACAAACCTGCCCACCAGTGACAAACTGGAAGTGCCTCAGGGCCAGGACCACTGAAGAATTTTAGGTGACTTTAAGGTCAATGTCTAAGGGGCTGAGGAAGTCAGGTGTCTTCAGGAACAAGTGGGGACTAACAAGGGATATTCAGAGTCAAGGTTCGACTCAGTCATGTCATTCTACACTAGGTGCCTGTTTCCTTTTTAGTACACCTGGACTCGTGACACTGAACCGTTGAATGCTGTATGAAGAAGTACTTCATTAGTGTTACTGAATGGTAGGTGCCTTTGCTAAAGTCTCACACATAACAGTCCCAGAAGACTGGTTTAAATCACTGCTTAAGCTTCACTGCAGTTTCTATTGCCAGGAAGCTCCAATGTCTTAATTAGCTAAATCCACCCTCAGTTAATCTAGAAATAGAACCTGTATAAACAGCAGAAATTTAGGATTGTGATTAATATAGCAAATGTAATTCTGCCATGTAATTTAAATTATATGTAAGTCACATCATAAATCTGTAAATGCTTCCGAAGTTTGTTGGCTTCTTGCCAAAATTAATTTTGGTAGAAAGTAAGAAATATTTCTCCAGTGTTTGATTGCTTTTCAAACTCCAGCTCTGGTACGTTCTTCAAAAATCTGACCCAGTCTGCCTTCTTGTAATATTCAGTAGAGCTGAAAAATAAAAATTTATGCCTATATATAGATTACTTACATAGGTGAAATAGTAAACATGAGCTATTTCAATGTTTATAGCTTTTTGCTAAAACAAACTACAGCAACGGTTATATTCAACTACCTTGACACTAACTTATGAAAATGTATTCAATTTTAAATATTGAAAATACAAACGTCAATTAATTTTTCATTATATAATGCATACAAATGTACATCAAAAAATATTCCCATGAAGCAGACCTCCCATGTAAATCACTCAGGGAAAAACTGATTTCCTGTTCCATAAAAGTGTAAGTCTAAGGATCTAAAGCAAAAAGTCATAGAAAAGTTGTTAAATCACAAACACTGCTTAATAAAGATTACTAATACTCTATTAGATTCCTGAGGTGGAACAGAACAGATGCGTATTTGTGCCCTTGTACTCAGCATGATCATGACAGAAGTTAGTGCCATCTCAGAGCCATGGGATAAGGCATCAAACTATTTTGTAGATACAGTCCCAATGTGGAACCATGATGCAGTTATCCATTGTTAGGAATCTAATTTATCAATCTGGAGCTTAAACGAATTGAAAGTGACTAACCCAGGAGATGTCAGGGAGAGACAGATCATAGAAACATGGAGTCATAGAACGGTTTGGGCTGGAAGGGATCTTTGGAGATCAAAGATAGAATCTTCTGCTACCTCTGGCCAGCAGTGATAAGCCAATATTGCCTGAGTTATTTTCAGATTTGGGGATAAAAAAATGAAGTTTCAGTGACCATGCTTGGCTGTGCTCAGATGTCATGGGTTTAGGTTTTAAGATATCACCTGGATTTAGCTTCTTCTAAGATACAACTAAAGGTTCTCACAAGCACAAACTGACTTCTTTTAAATTCTTGTTTTAATGAAGTAACTGCAAAAAAAAAAAAAAAAAAAGGAAGAACTGAAGCAGTCTGAGTAAATGAAACCCATCAGACAGCTACATCAGGACTGTGTAAATTGTTCTGTTCCTTTAGCATGGGATTGGCAGTCAGCATCTAGACTCACTACCTGATGCATACCTGGTAAAGGACCTGCTGGGGCACAGTCCTCCACTCGTGCAGATCGGCAGCTGCTGAGCACAAAGGGAGCAAACACAGCATCTGCTGGGAGTGCGTGTGCATGTGTGTGTGTGTGCATGCTTCTTTCCCAAAGTCACAGTGGGTGAGCACATGCAGACCTGCGATCAGGGATGCATGTCTGAGTTCTGCATTATGGATGAAACCCCCATTGTTTTATACGTGTCCAGGGAACCTACAGAATAGAAGAAGTAACATGGATGTAAAGTAAACTGGGACCACCGGTTGATTCATTTTCTCTGGCCTTAATATTCACCTGCTTAATGTTGGCTGATAGGGTGAAAGTCAGGCTGTTGTCATCAGGAAGGGTGAGCCAATATTCAGGAACCAAACCCAGTAGGTATCAACTGTGATCCTGCTGTTCCCAGTGCCTCCAGACAAAGCAGTTCTAGGTAATGGTCAAAAGAATCAATGTAATCACTAGCTTGTTGCGGAGCTTGGGCTTTTCCTTTCCTTCTCATGAGTTTTAATTAGAACTTCTATCCCTGCTCCTTATCGTGGAAATGGTACCAAAATTCTCAAGAAACAAAGCCTTATCTCTTTGGAAAATAAAAATCGTTAATCCTGCACAGCTGACCCGATGAGGTGATTACTCAGCTAATACAGTACCTTCCTGCCATCTTGTGGCACTGTAGGGTTTACCACTTTCTGTTATATTGCATAATTTTTATTTCAAATGAAGTTATTGGGTTTTAAGTTTCAGATGCCATCTAGTTAAACAACACATGTGCACACAGAGTTAAATCTTGGTCCAGCTGATAGCAAAGTCAAAACTCTTGTTGATTAAAAAACTTCCAGACTGCACTAATTGTATTAATTACAATATCTTATTATGTCAAAAATTAAAATAAGTTCAAAACAAAGAATGTAAAGATAGGTTTCAGTTTTTAAGAATAAATTACCGTTATACTGAAATAATCTGAAGTTATGTCTGAAATAATACCTTGCCTTTGTATTACGAATTCATCTTTATTTTTCACTTGGGATATTTGGTATTTTTAAATAGCTACCTCCTTTTTCAAGTCTGCCTGAAGAAAAAAGAAGCTGCATCTTTTATATGACTTCAGGCGAGATCCTTCAAGTGCTTGTTCAAAGCTTACTTATTTTCCAAAAATAAAGGAATATATGAGAATGTGCTACTGTCAGATTTCCTGCTCCTGCTTTCAGGCTGGAATCACCAACTCGATCTTTGAGCATGGATGCACCACGAGGAATTAATATCAAAGCGCAAGCTGGGAATATTGAAGCTCTTTCCCAGATGGATATCAAACTACACAGCAGTGATGGTGTGGTGAGTACAAGCCCTTCTGTTTCCATAACTCCAGTTGATCTTGCTGTCTGAATATAACTAATAACTTCAAGGCTTTTTTCAAATTCTGTTAATTTAATTCCTCAGATTTTAGGAGACAAGGTATTAAAATTAATGGTGCCAATAATTATTTATGGGTTAGATTAAATAATACTATCAATTGACATAATGTTGTATTAGCTTAGAGAAATGCTTTCTAATAAAACTCGATGATAGCACTCAGCTCCCTACTAGCGATCCTCAGGCACCCCAGTGGGGTCCTTGGCCCAGAGGTAGACACTCACTCCCAGAACTGCTAAACTAAGGGTTGAAGCTCTGCAGATACCATTAAGAGCTGCCCCTATCAGCAACAGCACGTGACATGCAGCCCCTCTGCAAGGCTGTACAGTGCCGGTTCTTCCACAGAGGATCTCCAGATCAACCTGTGTGTCCATCCCTAACCAGCTGGCATGGCTGTGAGGCATCAGCACTTAGGCCAGGACAGACCTGGGTCCAACAGCAGCAGCAGCACCCATGCCCTGCTATTCAGTATACAGGCCAGGGCCCTGTCTCTTACCATGGAATCATAGAATGGCAGTGGGGTTGGAAGGGACCCTAAAGATCACCTACCTCCAACCCCCCT